CATTTTTGAAAGATATATTTATGTCTCCAACTATAGTTATAAATTTGTCTATTTCTCCTATCAGTTCTGTCAGTTTTTACCTCACATATTTTTGCAGCTTTGGTGCATACACATTTAGGATTATTATGTCTTCTTGGTGGATTTATCCTTTTATCAGTATATAATGTCTCCTTCTGTTTTTGGTAATCTTCTTTGCTACAATGTCTACTTTACCTAAAATTAATATAGCTACTCATGCTTTCCTTTGTAATGATTCCATGATATATGCTTTTTTATCCTTTCACAGTATCTGTCCATACTGGTGATTTGAAGTAAGTTTCTTAAAGAGAGCGTGTAACTAGATCATGTTTTTAATCCACTCTACAAATCACTGTCTTAATTGGTATGTTTAGACCATTTACATTTAATGTAATAATTGGTATGTTAGGGCTTTAGTCTGCCATTTTATTTTTTGGTTTTAGTTTGCTCTCTGCTTTTTATTTATCTAGGGTTTTTCTTGCCTTACTGTGTTTTACTTAAAAATTTTTTTAAGATTTCTATTTTGATTTATCTCTTGTGTTTTGAGTACATCTCTTTGCACATCTCTTTTAGTGGTTGCTCTAGACAGTGTTATATATTCATAACTTATCACAGTCTACCTATATTGAAATCTCATCTCCCTTTCTTTCCCTCTACCCCTACCCCATTTATGATATATAAATGCCTTAGATATTCCATCTACATACATTTAGAACCACATCAGACAGTATTCTAGTTTTTGCTTCAAACACCAAACATAATTTAGAAAACTCAAGAGGAGAAGGAAAGCCTATTTACCTATTTTTTTAATTTACTGTGTTCTTTCTTCCTTACCCCTGTTCCATGATTCTTTTTTTTTATCATACCCTTACTGTTTAGAGAACTTGTTTATTCCTTGTTTTAGGGTATATCTGCTGGCAACAAATTTCTTAAGTTTTCCTTCATCTGAGAATGTCCTAATTTCCCCTTCATTACTGAAGGATGTTTTTGCTAGGCATAAGACTCTTGGTTGAGAGTTCTTTTTCTTTTAGCACTTGACAGATACTGTGCCTCTTCTTTCCTACATCTATGGTTACTACTGTGTTTCTAATTGTTTTTACCCTGTTAGTAAGGTTTTGTTTCTCTCTCCCTTATTTCAGATTTTTTTCTTTGTCCTTAATTGTTGAAGTAACTTATGATGTCTCTTAGCATGTAATGCTTTGGGTTTAACCTGTTTGTGGTTTGCTCAGTTTCTTGAATCTGTATGTTTGTCTCTTGCTAAATTCAGGATGTCTTCAGTCATTATTTCTTTGTGTACTTTTTCATCCCTACCCTCTTTCTCCTCTCCTCCTGGGACTCTAAATTACATGAATGTTAAATTTTTTGTTATACTCTCACAAGTACCTCACACGCTATTTATTTTTTTCAGTCTATTTTCTCTCTGTTGTACAAGTTGATTATTTTTTATTGTTCTAGCTTTAAGTTTACTGATTCTTTCCTCTATCCTTTCCATTCTGCTGTTGAGCCCATCCACTGAGATTTTATTTTGATTATTACATTTTTCAGTTCTAAAATTTCAAATTGGTTGTTTTTTATACCTTCTGTTTCCTTGTTGAGGCTTTCTATTTCCTTGCTGAGACCTTCTATTTTTTTATTTATTTCAAGAATGAGTGTTATTTCTTGTTGAAACATTTTTATCATGGCTGTTTTAAAATCTTTGTCAGATAATTACAAAATTCTTCTCATCTGGTGTTGGCATTTATTGATTGTCTCTTTTCATTTAGTTAAGAGATCTTTCTGATTCTTGTTTCTTGTATGATAATTGATTTCCTATTGAAAGCTGACCATTTCCATTGTATTTAAGGAGAAGAAAAGGAGAAAGTGTAACTCTTCCATCTTCCCAGAAGTAAAAGTCCATAATTCTAATATCTTTTAAAATAAATATTTTATGTATTTTTCTCTTTTAGGAAGAAATACTCATTATAATAAAGTTGCTTATAGAAATAAGTATATATGTATATAACATCTTCATATTCAAATAGAATTGTGATCTATAAATATATATGCAAATTACTTTTTAAGTATATTCATCAATCCCACATTCCATCACAGAGCACTGAAAAAATTCCCTTGGAAAAAGTCATATGTTTACTTCATTATTTTGTAATTATTCTTCTGTCTATTTAATTTTTTTGTCTATTTCGTATATTAGTTTTTCTGCTTTCTTTTTCTCATATTCTTGATAAATAGAGATCTGTGTGTGCCTGCTTATGTATATATGTTTATATTATTTATGTATATTTAATTTTTCCTAAAACCAAACAATATTGCCAATATAATTTTATCATTTTATTCTGCTCTTATTTTCGTATCAAGTTGCTCATTTATAACTAATATCTTAGGTTGGTTGTAAATTTTGCTGAACAAATATTAAACTCCATTTTAATTTTTCTGCTTGGAGAACAGTTGTGCCAACCTCATCAAGTATTCTTAGGGTTACACAACTTATTTTAAGGAGAGAAAAATTTATGGCATTTTCCAATTTCGATGCCAGTGTTTAGAAATGATGCCTATTTTCATCTTTGAAATTTAAAAAGAAGCATAACTACTCAAATCAGGTTTTTCTAGTTAGGGTTTCTTCTGGGGAGAAATTTTGTGGGGATTATGTTAGAAAACATTTCTGTGATTTTTCACACCTTTGTTTTGTGTTCTGTACCGTTTATTCATATGCAGGTATAATACTAGTAGCATGATTATGAAATTGAAAACAAGTGATTCAGCTAGTTATCATAGGCTAGAATATTAAAGGGTATCTGCACTCTTAATTAATTAAATATCCTTTTCTGCATAGTGAGAGCTTTTGTTCTGATTCTAAGAACGCTGCTACTTCATTTTAAAAGTTCAATGATATAAGCTGTAGCATTTCTCACATTAAAGTGTCGTAGTGCCTCTGTGTGAGAAATTGTACTTCTAAGATTCCTCCTGGGAACTCATGCTCTTTTGAATTCTCTGTGTCTCAGAATTTCAGAGCTGAAGGAACCTGAGGTTTTCTTATACCTGACTTATACAAGAGTGTAGTAACTCTATAACACACTAATCTCTACTCATTAAATCTTGTACACTTTGGGGAAGAAATAGTAAGTTTATCTCTTTATTTAAAAATGTCAAGGACGAGATAATAGCCTATGCAGAACTCTCATGGCCATTGACACAAGTTTTTAAGAAACTTTATAAACTACTGTTAGGGTTTTTATAATTTCTTAATTCCTTTTATCAAGTCCTATAGCTAAAACATGTTCTTTTTGAGCTTTATCATAAAGAATGTGCAAATATATTACCTGTAACGTTTTGCCCCACTGTTCCTATCGAAGACTTCCTGAAAAGACTGAGTAATAATTACTCTAATATAAAGTTTTCACAACATTATTTATAGAATAGATCCCACTCAATATCGATATTCAACCACATAAGCAGTCATAGTTATGCTGATACTTAAATAAACTTAATTTAATCCACATAACAAACATATCCATGTTATGTATTGTAGGCCTTAAACAACTCCTTGTTGCTTGATGAATTAAAATCTTTTTGTCAGACATACAAGGCACTTTTTGAAATGCGCACTTCCTCTCTCTCATTCTTCTGCAGTCTTATGGAAATTCCTGAACTCCTTAACCAGGTCATGCTCCATGACACCTCCCTGACTATGTGCAATTTGTGCCTTTAGTCCAGAGCTCCTTATTTGCATAGCAATCTCAACTTTGGTCATCTCCTCCGTAGAGCCTTTCCCGACCGTTTTTTCCTCTGTGAAATTGAGCCACTTCCCTTTTTGCCTGCCCTGTACCTGACCTGTAGAGATTTTGTATAATAGTACCTAGAACTCAATTCATTGCCCCAAAACAATGACAAGTCCCTGAATGTCTTGATGGCAGAGCTTGTTGTCTCATCTCCCCTCCATCTGCTTTTTTTTTTTTTTTTTTAATAAATGATTCGGAGCAAAGGGCTTCACATAGTTCATAGCATTAAGTCGATTAATGTTGGGTTTTGCTTTGCATTCCATAGCTATAGGTTGAGAAAAAGACTTTCATCCTTTCTCTCCACTTCTAGGTAGGACTTTTAGAAAATCCAGAAAGGCCTGAACCACTTTATTATTTGAGGTGCTCAGATTATTGAAAAATGAAGAAATAGAGTAACATCTTTTTTTTTTTCAATCTAGTCATTTAATTTCTGTGACTCCGTATTGGCTATATGTATAATTTATTTGGAAATCATTTCAAACGTCTTTATTGGACACTTTTGTTCCACAGTCCTCTCTCCACCCCATGGCTTTGTTGATTGGCCCACTTCCTCAGCTTTAATCAACTATGTCACACGTCGATTTGGTCCCAGCCATTGCTTCACAAAACTCAGTTCAAAAGAACGGTGGCCTTTGCAATAGGTTATGTCATTGGTAGTAGAACGCTTGGATTCTGCATGGCTCCTCCCAAAATGTTCCGATTAGGGAAATAAAGTTGATATATAGTTATTTTATGTTTAAAGGGGGAAAATAGGCCAAGATGAATATTCTCCCTCACTTTGACACAGAAATAAAATAATCTATTTAACACTATTCCATTGCTAACCCTTAAGGTGAAGAATCAGACTCATCATTTTATTATTTCATTTATTAAAATGTAACATGTATTTTAACAGAATTTATTATTGAAACAAATTTCAGTGTTATCGTTGACCACCTGTTATGCTCATCTAAAATTAGTGAGTATTTAAGTAAATTAACTCGTCCAAAAGCAAAGACACATTTCTTGCATCCGTTCCTCTATTATTCTAATAATTGGCTTTTAGCCAAGTCCCTAATGTTTTGTATTATTCTTTAAAAAACAGGTGTATTATTAAAGATTACTCAGTATTTACTCCAGTCAATAATTTTCTATTATATTACACTAAGATGAGTTTCTCTGTGTATACCTGAACTAAGAAAAAATTTCCTTTTCATTTGAAAACAGAATGACGTTGATGAACTTGATCATATTCTCACATCAACATTCAAACAGGAGATACCATATTATGAGTTCCGATCACTCCAAACTGAAATCTACCCTCAAAAAGAATGTGAGTATTTTCTAAATGCATCACTTATTCTATTTGTCACATTTCAGTGTATGTAACTACTTAATAAATATTATAGCAATATTTATAATATAAATATTATAGCATTGCTGATGAAATGTTTTGACAATTCCCATCCCCTGGTGAGAGAAGTGGTTTTTAGTCTAAGGAAATATTTGGATAATGTGTGATGAAAATTGTTCATCATAGCATTATTTATAATTTTTTTTTTTTTTTTTCTTGCGTTATGCGGGCCTCTCACTGTTGTGGCCTCTCCCATTTGCGGAGCACAGGCTCCGGACGCGCAGGCTCAGTGGCCATGGCTCACGGGCCCAGCCGCTCCGCGGCATGTGGGATCTTCCCGGACCGGGGCACGAACCCGCGTCTTCTGCATCGGCAGGCGGACTCTCAAGCACTGCGCCACCAGGGAAGCCCGCATTATTTATAATTACCAAAAATGGAAATAACTTCCAAAGATAGGTAACTGATCAAATAAATTTTGGTGCATCTGTTAATGCAACCATCATAAACAAATCTTATCATAAATTGATTTGCTGGCTGGAGTGATGCTTTGATATATATTTAATCGAATAAAAGCAGGTATACAGCAGTAGATAGAGTGTGATACTCTGTTTTAAAAAGTACATATGTTTAATAGCATATGTTTATATATGTATATATATACATATATATAAATTGATGGTCTGGACAGATATGCATCTGCTAACAGTTATTTTTGGGTTGTGCAATTTCAGAGACTACATTTTTTCAGTTTGCTTTATCTGTGTTTTGTACAATGACTACATATTATTTTTATCATGTAAATATATATATACATATATAAAGAAAAGCATATATAGGAGATACTATAAAAAAATTATACTTCTCAATATTATCACAAGCTCAGTAGCATACTTTCTATATTAGTTTGTTCCTGTGTAGTTGGTTGACACATTGTTTATAATACATTTATATGCCCAGTATGTGCCAAACACTATGATGGAGATGTAATGGTGAGTAAGACAGGCATGGAGCAAAAGGATATTAGAGGTCTCCTGTAGGCATACTGTAGGACTAATGAACAGAGATTTTTTTCTGTATATTTTCTGTGCTATTTGAAGCAGTTTTATCATCAGGCTGGCAGGCCTGAGGGAAGCGGGAAGAAAAGAATAGGAGCCTTAGGCACAGCCGACTGTGATTCACCCAGATGTGCTAGAACCTGCATTATGTATGGTGAGGTTACATTATGGGGAAAGGTCAATGGTAGGCTAGTTCTGAATAAATAATTTGCGATAGTAGTGCAAACTTATTTTTATTTCCCATATACATTTTAACAACACAATTCACTACAAAGGTTAGACATTAGGTTGGGATAGAAAAGGAACATGACATGATCTCTCACTTAAGACACTCATCATTTAACTGGAGAAACAAGATAATATATATGTAATAATAGAAAGAAACAAGGTGTTACACTTCATGAAATTCATTATACTGACAAAAGAATTTTAGAGAGAAGCTGGATTATGCTTCAGGATATGCTTCCTAAAGGAGGTGGGATTTTACCTAGGTCTTGAATTATGTGTCTCAGTGAGAAAAGAGAAAGGAAACAGGAATTCTAAGGAAGAGAAAGTGTATCCAAAGGTATGAAGATGGAATTATTACACAACTTTACAAATTCCCTCAGCATTATATTTGTTTAGGGTTGAGGAACGAGAATTGTGGGGCTGGAGAGGAGAGGATGGCTGTGGTCTCTCATTTTATAGATAAAGAATTCAAGGGGGGATTGAAAGTGCTTCTCAGTGTCTCATTTAGGTTGTAGGATATGAATTTTAGAGTTGGAAAGGATGGAATAGACTTGGTCCTTTATTTTTAATTAATTAATTTATTTATTTATTTAATTTTTTGCGGTACGCGGGCCTCTCACTGTTGCGGCCTCTCCCGTTGCGGAGCACAGGCTCCGGACGTGCAGGCTCAGCGGCCATGGCTCACGGGCCCAGCCGCTCCGCGGCATGTGGGATCCTCCCGGACCGGGACCCGAACCCGTGTCCCCTGCATCGGCAGGCGGACTCTCAACCACTGCGCCACCAGGGAAGCCCCCTTTATTTTTATAGAAAAGGAATTCTGGATTGGTTCAATTGGAGCACTTGATCATGTGGATCTGATTCAATAGGTATGGGGTACAGTCAAGCTTCTGCTTTTTAAAAAAACAAGCCTCAAGGTAAAGCTGATGCTGCTAGTCCTCAGACCTTTCACTGAGTTATCAAGGGTTTAGAGCAGTGGTTCTCAAACTTGATGCATATTATAATTAGCCGCAGAGCCTTCAGAATATCCCATGCCTAAGCCACACCCCCCAAATTAATGAAGAATCTGGGGAGTGGGTTCCAGCTATCAGTACTTTTTAAAGTTTCCCAGATGATTCCAGTGGGCAGCCAAGTTTATCAATCCCTAATGGTTTCATATTACTCTCTCTTTACAAAGGTTAGAAAGTTAATAGCATATGAAAATTTTCAACCATTCTTAGAATGTAATGATTATTCTGTATTTGAAAAAATATTTTTATAAAAAATTGCATTTTTAAAAAGAAGCTAAAAATGGAAAGTTCAATATAATCTAGGTAATTCATTCAGAAACCATATTGCTGGGTATTGCTAGATGGCAGATGCTATTAAACCCGTAACAAGCAAATAACATAACATTAGGTTCTAATTCGTAGTGGAAGTGCAAAATAACATAATACAAATTACATAATAAAATATGCAAGAAAGACATGAATATGGCTGAACTCATGTTTCGCTGGCCTCCTTGGCCCTATAATCTTGGATCAATATCAGCCTCAGAAAATATGGTCTTGCACCTATATTTTCATAATGTTTAAGTTGAATTGATGATGAGATTTGAGAAGCCTTTATACATAAAGTGGAATTAATGGTAGGTTATTGAAGAACTTCTCCAGAAACACCACTAGAGATATTCTGAGAGGTAAATTCAGCAAACAGTGAATTGAGTATATTTCTGAATGTCTATCCCTGAAGACAGTTCTCCAATTATTTGGTGAAATATTTCATTTATTAAACATTTATTTATTACTCTATATTTTAGCTGAAATAAATTGGAGGTTAGGACATTGTGAGGGGAAATAATCATAAGGAACTGACAGAGCATACTTGAGTATTGACCTATCCTAAGGAAGAGACATGGAACTACCCACAGATACCTGTTGTTCTTTAAAAATATGAAATTAAATGCTATGTTAATCAAAACTATTTATCTTATTGTTATTCCATCCTCTTTTCTTTTCCAAGTTGATTCTGGTAAATTCTGGATTTAGTCCCTGTCACTTCATTTACAATAAGTAAATTGCTATTCCGTGCCACTATGTCTTGGTCATTTTCACTTCTGTCTAGCCAATAAACTTCCTCATTTACTTTTTTTTCCCTTAGTCAGGCAAAGTTGAGGGGGGTGGGAGTGTTGCAGAGATAAGATAGAAAGTGCACAGGAAATCAGATCTGCTTTAATGTTCTCTTACTCTGTAATGGTTCATTACTGAATTAAAAATACCATTTTCCATTGATAAGAATTTTCCACTGAAAAAGTTCTCCCTGGAAGTAGAATATAATAAAAGGTTTCCAAATGAACTTGATATATTAATGCAATGTATCATACATGCATTTTGAACATAACAGTCATAGAAATAATTCATAACAACTTTCTAGTGTGTGAATCATCAGGGCTTGTGAAATCAATATAGGAGATCATAACAGGCAGTGTTTCTGATATATAAGACACTAGAATAGAAGATATCAAGGGTGCATCCCTTAAAATAAGAGTATCGCTGTGAGCAGCTTCCATTTTGGTTGTAGTTGTCTGTATAAACACACATGGTCTGAGCCACCAGGAAATCAGGTTGAATGACTTGACTTGGTGTAGTGGTGAGGTAGAACAGCACACCTGGACTAACACAATTGCTTTAGTCCTTCTGTAGCTCTCCCCTATCCTGAGTTTCAAGCCATATTCCAGTCTTATAAGTCTTAAACTGCAGCAGGTATGTGAATTTCCCTAACTTCTCTTCCGAACCCTTTCAAAGGCTGGGTAATGCTGAGGATCTCTTGTTATTGATGGGAAAAAATAAGTTGTATAGCTTGTTTTTAAAAGTGGCTGGAGTTGCAGGTTAAATCTCCGGAAGTAGCAGTCTGGGGAAAAGGAAACTAGGTTGCTTTGAGGCAGATCATGTACCTTCATCCAGAAAGGAGAATGGTTTAATAAAGCCCATGCCAGTTTCTAGAAAAGCATGTCAAAATGTTTAACCATTTACAAAAAGTAGTAATATGTTTATCTGAAACAGGACAGCATATGATCACCAGTGACATGTGGAAATATTAATTCAGTATATTATCTCCTAAAATGTCTGTGAAATGAGGAGCATGTAACTGGATATTCAGTACACATGTAGTAGTCACTGTGGCCCTAGGATTTATCTTGGACTTGTAATATCTTTAGGTTCACATAAAATAGCTCATTCGCTATCTGAGTAGAGGAGAACTGAATGTCACTGAGTTGTTTCTTTTTATATCATCAAATAATTTAAACATGCAGAAGAATACAGAAAATAATATAAAAAACACCTGTACCTATCATTTAGGATTGCCAAATCTTAACATTTTGTCACATTTGCTTCAGATCTTTTTTTATAAGAAGTAAAATTCTACAGATATAGTCGAATTTCTGTTTCCCTTTGTGATTCCATACACTTGAAAAGTAACCATTGCTTTAATTAAACTTATTGATGACCATTCCCTTGTAGTTCTTCATTCTTTTACTACATACATTTGTTTCCTTAATTCATATACAGTCATGTGCAATTTTGTAGATTTTGTGTAAATGATAATCATACTTTTTCTTCAATGTACTATTTTTGCCCAGTATTAATATTTTTATATTTATACGTGTCTTTATGTAGATCTAGGTCATTCATTTGAAATATTCTATAGCATTGAATTGTT